GATGTTCAAATGTTTGATGGGGTAGCTTGCATGCTTCTATGCTAGAAGTGTTCTCTGACTCCCAACCTTCGTTGTCACACTCGGATTGTACGATGCCTTATCAAGGAATTAGCGTGAACGCCTCAGTTTGCACAATTTTATATTCGAGTCGCCTTTTTAGGTTTTCAACTCGAACCCTCCTTTGGTTTCAAGACGTTATTCAGGATTTACGTCTTGAACCCCCTTTGTTATTTTTCTCTACCATGCATTAATTACATTGTTTTTTGCAAACAAAGATTAATCCTGATGGGCGGGATGAAATCTGAAAATAGCCTATTCTGTTTAGAAATCCATGTATGATTAGAAGGGACTTTTAAGGTACGTAATGTAGGCCAGGGTTCATGGTTATGAAAGAAAAGGATAAATAGGATCAAACAAGTGTTTCAGGGTGTTGAACCAAGGATCAATTCATTCTGATGCCTTCAATCTTGCTCAAAATGTTTCTCTTTCTTGATGCTCTATGATCTTCGAGTGAAGTGATTCAGTGATTCGGGAATGATTGTGCTTGATCAATCTCAAAGTTTGAAGCTTGATGTGCCATTTGTCTTTAGGGAATCTTTGCATGTGCTTTTTGTCCCCTTTTCTTTTTGATCTTTGTTCTTTCTTTTTTCTTTTTTCTTTTGTTTTTTTCCTTTTTTGTTTTTTTGTTTTTTCTTTTGTTTTTTCCTTTTTTGCTTCTTATTGAATATTCGCACTTGGCATTTGGTTCACCTTTCGGTATCTCATCTAAATCAATGTCTTCACTCATGCGAGCATGTTTTCTCCACCTTGCCCCCCAGTGTGGAGGGTGATCCTTGGTTAGGGTTGAATCAGAAGAAAAATACTATAGGCTCAAAAGGGGACACAAGGGATATATATTTTCTCATGTTGTGAAGGGATAAAGAAAGAAAGTCGTTCATCATCTCATACATGGAAGTCTTCACAGAAGAGGTATCCCCAGGGGGATAGATTTTCAGGATTAATTCTATTCACATGAAAACAGTGCAATTAATGCATGATAGAATTATTTCGAATGAATTGTTTTTTCTGCTCCTTGCTCCCAACATGTCTCAATGTTCAGGCTCCCGGCGAGATGCCCTAAATTGTGTCTTGAAAGAATGCTCATGTTCAAATGAACAACTCAATGCCTTGGGTTTTAATGGTAAAAAAAGGTTAAAGACAGTTGTGTGATCTTATTGACTCAAAGAAAGGTGTGGGTGTATCAAAAAGATAAAGGTAATGTTCAAGAATTTTAAAGTGAGGTAATGTCAAAATTTGGTCTTTTTGGTAATGACCATGAGTTATTTTGGGTAAAGAATCGAGGTGTTTTATTCTAGGGTTTGAGACAGGGTAAGAAAGGTCTAATCTTGCCATATGTCAAAAATCTATAATTCTTGGAGAATTAAAAAGAATCCTTAATTCATTTAATATTCAAAGAACTAAAGATTAAAATTTGTTCAATTGCTCCACCTCAGAAAGTAACATGAATTCAATCGTTTAAAAGATGTGTTCAAACAAAACAGTCCTCTAAGTACAAATGGTATATGCCATGCCCCCTTCTTCGGCAAGCGCCTTACAGTTTTCAGAAGAATGTTTGGGAATCCTTATGTGGCAACAGCTTCAACATCGTAGCCCTTAGGAGATGGGTACTCTTTTCTCAGATCATCCTGGCAGGCTTAGTCCTACAATCAGCTGATCCAGCTCCCCCTGTACTGATTTCAGTTTTTCTTTAATTGTTAAAATCTTGCTTCCATGTGGTGTAATGTGGTTAAGACCACTTCATCGAATCCTCCGTGATTTAATTTCATGTTTATGAAAATGCTTAAAAATGTAGATGCAAAAAATGCAAGAATGCATGAAATGTTCGAGGCATTGATCCAAGAAATATGATTGTTACTATGAATAATCCTTATTGGGGACAAAAATGTTTTATCTTTTAAGAGACAAAAATATCCTGACAGCTTCTGACATGTTGACTAGTCTTCTACTTTCGTCTTTCATCGGTTGAATAACCTGTCGAATCGCTCCGGCCTCTCTGGATGAATAGTAAAAATGTTGAGTTGTTTTTTGTACTGGTCCAAGAAGTCTCGAATGATCGCATCTCGAGCATTTACTTTTGTTGAGCCTGTTCCCAACGAATTCGTCATTGGAGCCCTTAATTGATAGGAACTATGTGAAGTTCATTAATCTGTTTCTTGAATTCGCCAGCAATGGTCTCTAATTTCAGCTATCATTTTGACATTGTTGTGTTCAAAGGGACTTCCGAGATACATAACCTTCATCTTGCCCCTGCAACCTCTGTCAGTCAGTTCTTCAAAGATAAGCTTTCATTGTGCTTGATGTAGACCCGGTTCATTATGAGTTCTTTATAATGCAGCAGAGTGATATACTATTCAATTGTGGGCACCACGTCTTTTGGATTGAATGTGACACATAATCACCTTGTAGACTATTATCTGTATTTTCATCTCTTGTATTACAACACCTTTTTCCATGGATTCAGACTATTCAAGTTTTAACAAACACGTTTTAGTGGATCAATGACCTCTTTTGAATAATGCAAGTGATGAAAATAAATAAAATAGAAGAAAGATGAAAAGAGTTAGTGATGTGAAAAATAATAAAAAATGATCATAAAAATGAAAGTCCTACCCCACATGATATCTACCTCACATGCTTATTATTCCTACCCGAACATGATCTCTATCCCACAAGTTGATTTTGAACAAGTCCTAACCGCATAAATTTCTAGTTCACATGCTTTGAAAGTAAAGTTGGAAATAATTCCGGCATCCTAGGGTTTGGAATGAGGTTTTGGGGTGGGCTCTAACTCCTTGTAGTCTCCCGGTTTAGGTTCTAAAAAAAAGGTACCCGAGTTATCCTTTCCGGTACCCCATTGGGCTTGCCAGACCCTTAGTCCTAAGCCCATTATAAGCTTGTGTGGACTAAGTTAAACTCGAGAGGAAACATTCCCTTATGCCCATACGGAGAATAAATTCACACGAAGGCATAAGGTATATGAATCCCGAAGGTTACTTGCTAGGCCCATACGGTGAATAAATTCACACGAATGCGTCGCTTTCGCCCCCACTTAAAACGGGTTTGGAGCTCGGGTATAGAGCCTGAGATGAAAACTTTGAAAAATCTGAAATCATTAAAAAAAGTTAGTACAACTATTTATTTGAAAAATAATCAAAGGTAAATAACTGGAATCGAATAAATAAATTTAAATTTACCATTTTCGCATAAAAAGACAACCAAAAATTAATTTCGGCCTGACTCACTTACCTCCCCAGCGGAGTCGCCAAGCTGTCGGAACCGTCTTTCGGTTAGGCCCCGGAATCGGGCTTCGACTTAGGAAAAACGTGAATTGGGGTTAGAGTCGCCACCGACCATTTTAAAACAGATTTAGGTGGGTCGGACACCATCTTACATGATCTGCGTTGTACCAGAAACGTGTCGGGTTCGGGAGTCGGTTACGGTCAAGGAAGGATTAGCACCCTTGTACTGCCCCTTGTACTGCCCTTTCGGTATCAATTAATTTGTCAGTTGTCTTAATTGCGAAAAAATTAAAATTAAAATTAAAATTTAAAAATTCAATTGGAATAGCTTACCTTTGATCGATTGAAATTATTACTGAAAACGTCAAAAAATGTTAGATTGTAAAATAAAAATAATTAATTAATTAAATATTTTAGTAAACTAAAGAGAAGCAAAAAGAATAAAAAAGGTTAGAAAATAAAAAAATAATAAAGTAAAAATGTTAAAAATAAAAATAAAAATAAAATAACATGAAGAAAATATATATATATATGTATAACATGAAAAAAAGGTTTTAAAAAAAATAATAATAATAAAGAAAACGATACTAAATAAGATAATCTAAATTAGGACTAAAATAATTGAAATCTAAATCTAATGATTCAATTTAAACTTAAAATTCTAGGATCAAAATGAATTGTATGCATAATACAGTGCCAAACTTAAAAAGAAAAATAAAGCTAACATAATTCATCAAATGTCAAGTGACCAAGCAAGTAATTTTCCCAATACAAAAGAAATGGAAAGCATATCAGACCCTTGAGTTAGATTCACGCCATTCAAAAGCGTATTACTTCAAACCTTTCTTTCTCCGTTGCTTCCTCAGCCATGGATAAGACCTCGCCTTCTGCAGCGGCAACACCTTTTTCAGGTAACATCATCTGCTGTTGCATTATCATTTTCATGGCACCACCGCCGTTGAGTTGATGTTGTTTAAGCTTGGATGCCAGAATCTCATTGTAGTGGAAGCCGACATTATCGTCGCGATTAGAAGCTCCAGCTTCATCGCACTTGAGAGGGTCCCAAGGTGACTTGAGGTCGGACGACCATGAGCAAGAAGGGAAAACGGAGAGCATCTGTTCTAAGAAGTCATCTTGTGATGATGTGGGCTCCAAGTGTGGGTCTTGCCTCTGGTGATGATCACTGTTGCCGTTGATTTGAAGGCCTTGAAAATGGATTTGTTGAATGGAGTTTAAGAACGAGTTCATTGCTTGCATCTCACGGCTACAAGGCGGGGCTACGCAGCATTGATTCTAGCAACGAGGATGGAGGCTATAAGCCTATAACATCACTGCCATGTTGTATATGAGCGTCCGAAACTTATCTCCATCTTCCTCCCCCCCTCCAAATCTAAAAATCCTTTAAATAAATAGGCAGGCCCCCTGATAAAGATTTCCACTTTCATTTTTTGAAAGAAAAAGAAGGAAACGTGCGTGGTTTTAGTTGAGACATGGGGTGGAGTTAATAACTAATTGGATGGTGGTTTAGTGGGTTGTTTTTTGGTTGAGACAATGGTGGGGTAGTGGGGTTGTACATGGGGCCTGTAAAATTAAAAAATAAAAATATTATTAACAATAATAATAATAATAAAAAATAATAATAATTATACGATAAAATGTTTTTTAGATCCGGATAAAAACGGGTGTCTACATAATGCAAGTTTGTTTACATTTTTGTGTTTCCGACTAACATATTCTGGTCATGAATCCTTGGTAACATTTCCAAATGCAATTTAGGAAACTTGCACTCTCAGATAGAAAATTAACAAACCATATAATCTTCTGCAACGATTAGGCTATAGACGTGCAAAGTACAATTCTGACCAAACTGGTACAAGTCTGAGGATGGATAAGGAAAAGTACCTTGGCTCTCTTTCTTTTAAATCGAACTCTGTCCTTCACATCTTTTTCCTTTCCTGAATAATTCCTGGTATTGTGTGGCTGCAACCCTGGATTGTGACGACCCAAACCATCTTCATCAACCGAATCTTCTTCATCTGCATTTGCTGAAATGCTAGTAGTCCTCTTCTCTAGTGCCTTAAATTCCTTCTCAGTCAAATGTAGGCGTTTTTCTTCAGAAGATTTGACAAAATCACGCTGAAATTTTGATGGTTGCTCAAGGAAAAGGGCATTTCGTAGACCAAATATTAGAGGAACATTAGGCACCTAAAGGAAGAGAAGGACACAAAATTAGAATATATGTTCATGGAAAATTTTAATACAAACTTCAAAGGGCAGACTGAATAACAGTATGAATGTTCAAATGGAAAGCAAAAATGATATTTATCCTCGAAGACACTTAAAAGTATAAAAAAAGGAAAAAGAATAGAACAAACAGAAATTATTGCTCCGACCGAGCCTCCGACTTTTTATTTTTCACAAAAAACCATGTCCAGCATATATCCGAATATATGTAAAAAACTAAGAAAATTAAACATACTCTGCGTCATATCCATATCTAACACTCACACCTAATTCAACTAACATAGAATTAGAAAAGTAACATTAAAATTATAAAAGTGAAAAAAGGAAAGAAAGTTGCCTTCTGAAGTTTCTTCCGGAGATCAGCATCCTGAGTAGCAACAAAAAAATGTTCAAGATTATTTTCTCCAATAACCTCCTCAATGCAAGCATCAGCACTGACCTTCTTCTCATGATCACATCTGAGTATGAGTTTCAATTACAGCTCAAACAAATTACATTCATAGAAAAGAAGGCCAAACTAAGAAAACCCGCATTCAATTAATTGTCAAAATAACAGAAACTACGTGTAAATTCAGAAGCAAAAGTGATAGGACCAGCAAATTAGCCCATAACAGGATCAAAAGAGAAAAGGGTTACCTTGCAACTGCGAGTTTACGAGCAGCTTGGCATGATCCAGACTGTGCAGCACCGAGTTTTATCAGCTCGGCCAGAACACAGCTGAAAACTCCTCACGACAAAAAGGAGTTAGATTTTCATGCAAAAGCAATTACTTTCAGAAACTTACACAACAAAAAGGATGAGCGTTGAACCTGGTGGTGAAAAGCTTGACGGGGGCAGAAAGACAATTGGAGAGAGCTTTGTCTGCGGGTGTTAAGTCATTGTGAAGAAGGTGGTGTACGAAAGTTCCATCGCAGAGAACCTTGAATGGCTGCCTGAAACCGAAGCACACGCTGAAGAATCTCACCGTCTTCCTGTGACGCTTTTGCTTCTTGAATCTCATATTTCCACTTCTCTCGTGCTAAGTAAATTTCAGAATTTGATAACCCACAACGATCAGCCGAAACCCAACGCCAATAGTTTCCGGTTAGTCCAGATTTCAGGTGAAAGCCGCGAGGGTTCTGCAAGGGTTTTGCTTTTTATAATTAACCCTCTCTTAACTGGGTTTGATTTTTTTTTCTTTTTAATATTTTTACATCAATTAACAATACATTTTTATTTTAAACTAAACTTTATTAAATAATACAAAAATTAAACGAAAGGTTTAATTTAATGTAATATCAATGGCGTATTATTTATAAGCCTTTTTTAAATATATTTAATTGAATTTAATTTTTGAATTTATAAAGCTAAAAAATGGAAAATATTTTATTGTTAGTATTTATTTTTCATTAAATTATTTTATGGTAAACTATATAATTTTTTATTAGATTTTAGATATTATATTAATTTTAATATTGAATTTAAAATGAATTAATTTTAATATTAAACTTTAGTTCACGTTTTAATTAGGATATTAAATCTAGAACAATTGATTATATGAAAGTTTTGATGCTAACAAGTGTTGATGTGAAAGTAAAAGAAATTAGATATATTTAATCATCGTCGAAAATCTTTATTCTCTGACTTTTTTACGAACACCCTAAATATCATGAATTGATTTTATCATCCTCTATTATTTCATCTGTTTAGATTTTTTTCGAAATACCTTTAACACTCACAAAATTAAATACAAAAAACCTATTATTTTTGTGTTTGAGATATTTCTCAATTTTGAGGGGTTTGTTCCGTTCAAACAATAAAAAACATTTTTTTGAGAAGACAAACAATTAATCTTATCATATATTCGTTGAAGAAGATTGGAGCATCAATCCGAAGACAAACAACATTCTTTCGAGAAGATAAATATTTATATGTTTTTTTATTGATTTTCAATAGGTCTCGTGGAAATTCAATCCAAAGAGGAAAATAAAGTGAAATGCAAACATTTTGATACTTATATTATCATGAATAATAATTAGTGACAGATGACGATTGGTTGGTAATGACAATCAGAGAAGTTAATAATATTGATTTTATTGCAAATAATGACCAGAAACATACGACAATTGATCAATAGTAACACTCGAACAAATTGTTAATATTAATCTTATTATAAATGACGATCAGTGATAAGGAATAATTAATTAGTGATAATAATTCAGAAAAATTAATGATTTTTTATTATAAGAAGACAAGAATGAAACAATCACATTATCGTGTCATTAACAATTTAATGATTAATAATATATTTTACGCAACTTTTTATTATTATAGGCAGTAATAGCATTTTCTGTAGTTTCTAAATCGACTTGCCACTTAACCTACAAAAGGTCAACTTCTTTAAGCCGTAGGATACGATGAATTACAGATGCCGACAGCTCGTAGCACAAGGATGAACCAAAATCAAATAGTGTAAGGTATAATGAATGTATAAATCACACCAAAACAACACAGATTTCTCCTCACTTTTATGATATAATGAAAACAATTACAGCTGTTCCTTTATACACTTGAACAAACAGCTGAACATCAAAGAAATTCTGTACTTTCACCAAGATCACACACGTTGTATTACCCAGTATTTGGATGCAGGGTATAACAAGTTCTCTTTTCTTCACTTTGTTGCTCTAAAAAGCTGGCTTCCAAGGGTCACAGTTGGGCTTCCTTTCCCCATCACCGTCGTCAAGCTCATCTCTTTATTGAGTATCCGTTCAAGTTCCGTTACTACATGCCCCATGGTCGGTCTCCTCTCGCTCGATGGTTCCAGACATCGGATGGTTAGCTTTATGAATTCTTCCATACCTTCAGCCGTGAAGCTACTCCCCAACCTCAACCTCGGATCGATGATGCTGGAAATGTTGCTGTAATCCTGGCTACTTTGCACCTTCCAGAAGAAGAAAAAAAATGTATCAGTCAACTTTGGTCCCCCAGAAGAATTATACCTATAACCACGATCTTTATATATATTGACCACCTATCTACTAAATTGGATGGTTTATAAATATGATATGCAGAGATGCATGATTAAGTTTGCATAGGAACAGGAAAAAGGCCCATATGAGGCCATGGAAGTGAACAACATGCAGAATGGTCTCCCATAATGAAATGTAAGCTTGAGAGTTTTCTTTTCGTACGTAGCAAGAAAACATTTCGAAAAAGCATGCATGAAGTGCACAAATAAAACCAATGTCATACCCACTCAACAAGGTTCTCCGTGGAGTTTGAAGATGGCAATTCTGACGCTTCCCGCCCGCTTACTAACTCCAAAAGGAATACTCCGAAACCATACACATCACTTTTTTCAGAAAATAGTCTAAACTCCCTTACCCTGCATTAGTCAATGCATATGCAGGTAAGATTTGTGAATGATAAATCATCAGAACAGTCGCAAAGTGAAGAGAGGAGTACTCAAAAGCAAGAAATATCTCATCTGCTGTCACTTGAGAAGAAGGTCCAGCAATCTCAATTCCTCCCAGAAAATTACGTAATCCGGCATCTGCAACCTTGGCTATAAAATTCTCATCTACAAGAATGTTTGCCGTTTTGAAATCTTTATGTACCAATCGAGGACTTAGAGAATGGAGATGAGCCAAGCCTGCAAGATGGACAAATAACCGTCGAGGCAACATAAATCGGGCAGTAAATTTTAGAAAATTACATCATTGAAGATGAACATCTTAATTCAGAAGCGTTACCGAAACTTACAAACAGATTTTGCGGGACTGCTAGTTGGATAGTTTATCTAAAGAAAAGAAAAAATGATACCAGGAAAGCCACAAATGCTCACTGGTTTTGCTGAGGATCACCTTTAGCTGTACCTAGAGATATTGAAAGTCTATGCTTGAATTCTATCTTCTGAGATGACACTTGACCAACTCCTGCAGAAATGAATCAGTAAAAAACTTCAATACAGAAATAAATACCATCTCACTTTCTCGATTAAATCCTGAGCCATTTACCTAACTGAGCTCTCCAGCTCTCCCAACATGACATATAAGTATATGCAATTTTTTTGACTGGATAGAGAGTTACAATACAGGTGAATGGAAACTCTTCCATTGGGTATATATTCGTAAACTAGATATTGATCATTTTCCTGGCAGTAGCCCAAGAGAGTGACAAGATTCCGATGCTGAATTAATAGATGAAAGATAGCAGGCCTAGGAGTAAAGTTGAGTACCATTAGATCAAAGGACTCAAATGAGCAAGTTAACCTTTAAAACTTTTTAAAGCTAATGAAAAATCTCAACCTAAAGCAATCCACAGGGACAATTTAAGAGGGATCTTAAGATGGAGAAATAGACTCGATTAACTGCAGGAGCAGGCCAGGCCAGGAATGTTAGTTATAATTCACATTTACCATGATCAGGGAAATAATTGACAGGTAAGTTGCTTTTACCTCATCAATAAATTCCTGAGTAGGTACTCCAGGTCGCTTTTTGATTGCAACCAGCAACCCATCTTGAAGCAAACCTTTATATACCTCACCAAATTTTCCTTCCCCGATCAGGTTTCTATCACTAAAATTTTTGGTAGCCGAAGACAACTCCATCAACTCAAAATGTCTAGCTTCCCGCATTGACAACTGAACCCCAATATGTCTTCCTAGAAGGAGTCAACGAAAACACACACACACACACACACAAATAAGTTATCTGTTACACTATTTGTTGCCTTTAAGGGCTTCTAGGGGGGAAAAAGCAGGACATGAAAGTTACCTTGAACAGATGGATCCGAAGACCCTGTCTCGGATGTTCTCGAAACACCTCGTTTGTGAAATAGGCAGAACCATATAAACAAGCCAACTAGCACCACCAATGCCACGGCTCCTGCAGCACATCCTAAAATTGCTGCAAGATTCCTTGACATTTGGTATTGGAACTACTTCAGATATGGTTGAAATTACTGTACATTGAAGCTAATATAAAGAAGATGAGACGAGCCGATAAATCTTTATCCAGAATCACCAAATGCACCCAAAATTCAAACAACAAAAGCAGTTTGCATAAAATGAAATGGCAAGCATACCATCCATTTAAATAGAATCTAGATATGTGGATATAGCAAGCAAGCAAGTTGGTAGCTAGCAGGCGGATGACAAATTGACAATCTTATAAATGAAAGATGCTTTGCATAGGTTAAAAGCTAAGAACTCAAAGAAGCAACTCGGTTTAGATCGTTTCTCACTCGATACTACTCAATACCCATCGTACAGAACAATGATGCAAATAAACAAAAAATCATAAGAATATTAAATTTGAGCACCTAAAGTCCTAAACCATTAAGCATCCTTCTTCATAGAGTTGAATTCAGATCCCTTGTCCAAATAAAAAAGGGAAAAGGGAAAATTCAAGTGGACATCAAAAGAGAAGAAAAAAAAAGAGCACTATGTTGAGTCGAATCAGAGACAAAAAGATAATGAGACACTGATGGAAAATGAAAAAGAAAAAGAAGAAGAAAAAAAAAGAAAGGCTGAAACTTCAAACCTGTATTCCCATTCATTTGGCAATGAGAAATCAAGTTGATCTCTTTAGGAGCTGAAATCACCCACATTCCCACATCGAAAAAAGAACAAGAAACAACAACCTTGTATGAGATTTGAGGGAAGAAGTCAAGAGATACCCAGAAAAAGATAAAAGGGTGAACAGGTGAAATCAAGGGGGGCAAAGGTGGTATAAGCAGGCAAAAATAGACAGCAATGATGAGGAATCGAGGAAGTTGGTGGAATAGTGGTAGTTTTTCTCCTTTTTTTTTTTTTAATAAACAAGATGGAATGTCCAAATCATTAAAAGAAAAACAAATGAAAAACAACATCAGAGACAGCTTTGGGAATTCAAGTTCCAGTAAAAAATAAAGAAATTCGAATCGTAAACCTCCCTCAACTCATTGAAAAATAAATAAAATTGAAAAACCAATACCCATCGTTGGGATACAGACAATGCCGACAGAAAGTGACCCTGCGCCGACAACACTTTCTCTCAGGGTTTAATACTTAATACCCTTTCTCTCTATATGTATATGTAATATGTGCAACATACATGAGCAAAATATACTCTCTTTATTGGTTTGAGTGAAGTTTCAAGAAACATAGCAGGCAAAAGAAGGTTTTAAAAGAGACTACTAATTTTTCTGGATTTGGTGAAATGAAAATTGCAAAATTGTCTTGAGTTTTAGATTTTGAGTGGTAGGGAAAACCAGGAAATAGAATTATTTTAATTAATGGGATTAATTTTTCTTTTGGCGAATCCTCATTTGGCATCTCATGACTCATGGTCAGCATTATGCAGGGGAACAGAAAAAGGAATAAGCAAATTTTCATGGTAAAGGAACTAGGGGAAAACTCTTTTCTTGCTATGGTGATTCATGGTTGTCTTACATACTTTTCTTGATGTTATCGAACCCTAAATGTTATATTTTACACACAGCTTGCTTTCGCTAAACTATATTCTGAATGTTCTCTAAGCTCTGATTTTGCCGTAGCTAATGAGAAATAGAGTGATCTAAAGCTCACATTTCAGGTAAAGCAATGAGAAAGGGAGAGAACTGAGAAAGTGCTGAGGTCGTAAACATAGAGGATTTATGCATTGCATGCGAAATGCTGGATTATGCAGGGTTAGGCATTGATCATGTTGGATTAAGTTGCTTTCACCGAAGAAGATAAGCCAGATTAACAGACGGATTCAGACGCTAATCCATCTTCTTTGAATAGAACTATCCATGAAATAATCGTCACAAACATCTTCATCTGTTGTTGTGTATTGATCTTTACTGTGCATCAAGATTTTGCTGGTCTGGAGGCATTGTGCTAACTCCGAATCATTTGTTCAGATTGCAGGCTTGCTTCGTGTTACCGACTCAACAATGAAGGATGGGAATTGTTAGAACATTTCATCTAGTAGAAAGAACACCCGTGCTTTTAGATTGATAGATAAATTTTCTATCTGAGTTCATGAAGTAATTTCAGTTTAGACTTTGGTTTTCATGTTCATATTTGTTGGATTTTGGTTTAGTTTTTAGGATTGAGATGGAATCTAGTTGAAGCAAATACAATCCTTTAGTTTTGTTCAATGATGTAGCTTTATTCTCTATTCAAATTCAAGTATTGGATTTTTCTATTTTTCTCACATTACTACTTCGAACATTTGTTTGTTTATATTAGTACTTGAATCGATTTACTTTTCCCACATTTACATATTTTTGTAACCATATTACACGGAGTGATGTGACATTTTAAAATTATGTCATATCATTACCCAAAAAGAAAAAATACTATAAAAAAACTTATAAATCATAAAAATATAAAATTTATATAAATTAAAATCATTACAGAAAGAAATATCGATATGAAAAACATATGAAAACAGATAAATTTAGGTATTAATATATAAAACAAGTTTAAATGCTAATGCGAGGGAACTAAAATGTGACTTATCCTTTACTAATCGATGAGGAGGAATCCTAATTTTTCGTTTTTTTTTCTATTAATATGGGTAATTATATATATATATATATATATATATATTCAAGTTTAGTTTAATCATAAATTTATTTAGTAGTCTCCGTGATTAAGAAAAAGAGTATTGTTCTCTCTTGAGGTCTCAAGTTCGAGTATTTGTGTCTATACAACAACAACAACAACAAAGTCCTATTCCCATATACAATGGGGTAAGGGGAGGTAGGGTAGTAGGCTGCCACCAACGCCAAGTTGAGAGCAACTTCCGTGGAAGACCTCCGACAATTAAAAAATTAAAAATAAAGATAAAATACAATGCATGTATAAATAAATAAATAAATACATAAGTGAACAGTCTTCATATGCACGTCTGTATTATCAATAGTTAAAATGATTATGAATATATACCACCTTGTAATTACCCTGATCTATTAAAAAAATTGATTTGATCCTTATCTACTAAGTTGAGCATCTCAACTAATAAAATAAACTAAATTTAAATAATATAATATTTGAATCAAATAATATGTACATGTTATATTTTAAAATTTTAAATTAATAAAAAAACTCAATTCAAACTCAACCAAGTAGCAAAGTAATTTATTTTATTTTAACAGTCCAATTTAAAAATATATGATTATATTACATGTTTATGTTCAAGATGCTTTTATCTGTTTAGCAATCGAATTTATATAACTTTTAAGTAAATATAAACGGTTTCGTTTTTTATCTCTCAAGAATTTTTTTATGCTTTATTAAACACAGCAACTGCTGGAATAGCTCAGTTGGCTAGAGCGTGTGGCTGTTAACCACAAGGTCGGAGGTTCAAGCCCTCCTTCTAGCGTTGTTTATTATTTTGGGTATATTGAACAATTAGTCACTAGTTTTTAGGCACTGTCTGGTTTTGATTATTAAACTATAAAACGTTTCATGTAAGACACTAACTTTTTTGAAGTTATTTCATTAGACAGTTTTTATAGTTAGTGACCACAGAGAGTCAACAGAACATCTCATATGGAATTAAAATTAAGTCTTTCCTAAACAAATAAGAAACGTGAGTTACAAAATCACACATAAATTGTCGGGTCGTAATATAAGGGAACACCCACCGCACAGATGCGCACTCCCCCCACGTGAAATATTCATCTTCATTGGATCTTTCTGGTAGCAGTCGTGACCTGCAACCACACCATGAAGGGGGGACGGGGAAAGCTACAGCCCCAAAACCTTATACCCTTCTTTCTCTCGCATATATTATATATAGGATTGCAAATAAGATGTGACAGATAATAAATTATTTGAGTTTGATTTGATCAAAATTCGTTTAATATTCAAATTAAATGAACTTGACTCTAATTCTTAACAAGTTGAAACATGATATTTGATACATGATTCGAAAAATTCGTGAGTAACTTAAAAAAATATTGATTTTTGAATTAAATTATTATTAATATTAACATTTATACGTTGTTTTAAAAATACAATATAAGATTTTTATATACTTAAGGTGTTGATTCAGGCTTGAATTCGAGCTTCAATCGAGTTAATCCCGAGAACATTTTAAGTTTAAGTTTTTTCGAGCTCGAGTCAAGTTTCAATTTTTTATTTTGAATTTGAATCGAACTTTACAATTTTAAACTTAAGAACTTTCGAATTAAATCAAGTCAAATTCAATAATACTCGAGCTCTACTCGAATAATTTACGACTTTATTCATATAGGGATTTAAAAGTGAAAAATGGTGTGTATGGGTTATTTTGGAAAATTTTAGAGTTCTACTAATATTACATGGATATTATATGTCATTTAATTTTATTTGTAAAATTTCAACTTAATTAGTTTGCGTCTAACTTAAGTTTCCTTAAATCTTTTTGTAACTTTACTAGAATCTAGTAATTGTTTTATAATTTTTTATAAATTAAATGATTTAAAAAAAAGTATCTTATAACTAAAGGTCTATATGCAGAATATATTGTTTTTATACGATAAAAGTTTACTAATTTTTCGCATTTACGTTAATAAACTTATTGATAAAATAATTTTAAATTCATAATTGCAGTGTTAAGTTCATAAAAACGTAAATAAACTCGGTGATTAGTTAATATATATATATATCAGTCAACAGAGGACGAAGGTGGGGTCCACTAATCCAAAAAGGCCAGCCACGTGTAATCCATGTGGCAAAATATATACAAAAACTCAACCTCCAGTTCTCTCCATATATTTAATTGTTTCACAATTTCTCCCCGAATAATTCTTTTTTCGGTTTCGGTTTATGGAATCGAATCGAATCTATATATTTTCTCCTTCTTAGTTCTCATTCTCATTGTGGGTTTACTTTAGTTTTCGTCCCCAAAAACTGAATCCATGTCGAAGAAGAGGAAATCCGATGCGACGCGGCTGGACGAGATGGATCGGAGCATGTACAACACCTTCTGTAGCGCTGCTAATTCTCTTTCGCAGCTTTATTCTCAGGCCATGAACCACCAGCATTTCTCTTTCCAGGCCGGAGAACGTCACGCCCTGGTTAGCTTCTTTTTCTCTTTGTGTTTTTATTCCAATATCTTTCAATCCCCCCCCCCCGTTTATCTATATGACTGTAGCTCTTTATTGAGTATGATGTATTTGTTCTCGGTGAATTGCTAGTTTGTTGTGTTTGATTTGCGCAACGTAATTGCTTTTTGGAACAGAATTATGTGGAATGGAAAATTCATAAGAAATACGACTGCGTTTTGGAGGAATTAAACTGGATTTCTGTTTAATCACCCATTTGCTGTTGAAATTTTGTTGTAATTTGGTGAAAAAGTGTTATCCTTGTTTCTTTCTTATCATTTTATTTCTTTCCTTTAAAGAAGCTGGAAATTTATGTTAATTTCGTTTAAGCATTGGATATAGTTTACCTTAATTTTCTTTTCAAGATTCTCATGTATTTGGAGGCCCCTAGTTGGATCATATTTTCATACCCCTATATGAGTATGTGTAAGAAACTGGTCTCAGATACCACAGGAAAGATCAGTCAGATTAACATAGGTCAAGCTTAAGCAAATTTTGAAGAGGCCTTAAGTCCTACCAACATGTGTTAGTGCAATGGTAAGGCACATTTGTACTCTCAACGAGATAACCTAGGTTTATATCTTGGATACATATTGTCCGGAAGCATCCACAAACCCCAGATATGAACTGAATATGAAACGTAAAACGGACACAAATGATTAAAAGAAGAGGAGGCATTAAGCCCTCAAACAAATATATGATAGCACTATGGCTATTTGACGCTTCATGGTGGATCATTTGAGCTTCTCAAAACAGTCATAGCTTAGTGCAAAATTGATGACTGTTGGCAAGCCTGCAAGCCTTTTTGGGCAACAGTCTTTGAGTTTTCTAAATTCTTGTTCATGTGTTCTCACTATAGATTTATCTACTTCTAGTTCTTCACTCCTATTGTGGGGCTTTTGGTGTGTTAATCTATCTTGAATTTTGTCTATGGTTGATTTTCATCCTTGCTTTTATTACTACATTGGAGTCGTCTCTAGTATCTGATATGGATATAATTCGAGGCTTCAAGCCTGCCTTGTTTAACTTCCACTATGACTGAAATGCTTCCTTATGATTACAGCTCTCGATTGTTAAACATTTATCATACTTCAGTTGTATTATTGCATTTTCATATGTTCCTGGTTGTCCTTGGGTGTTGCACATCTATTACATAAATCCTTCTTTCTTTCCTCTTTTCCCCAACAGGAGAAACTTTTTCAATGGATTTTGAGGAAGCAGCAAGAAGGATCATGGATGACAACAGCTGAAATAGTTGCTTATTTGCAGGTACCTTTTGTGATTTCTTGCTCTTATTTGTTTTGATGAATTTGTTTGGTGAAGAAATCTTTAAGGATTTTATTGATAAATCATTTTTCATTTCACATCTGTAGAATGAACTTGAATATGAAGCAGAAGAGTCTCCAATGTCCCCCATACCATCATTTAACCAGAACCCTCAAACCGCTATGCACATGAACACCGTAGGTACTCCCTTTTCTGCATCAACAATCGGACAAGGAGCTCGTTCTGGTGATTACCAAACAAAGAACTCGGAATTCTCAAATGCAATCTCAAGCCCCATTCGAGGGAGCCTTCAGCACTACCAGTCAGTCAAGGTTGGTTACCAATCAAATAATGTTGTATCTTCATCTTCTTCTGGTAGACCTCGATGCCATGAGACCAATTACAATAACCAACATAATGGGGAAGCCAATTCTTCAATCTCCAATGATTGCATGGACATGGTTATGCATGCTGATAGTCCAGTCTATGAATAACCTTTCTGAATTTCCCCTCTGCTTTTTTCTTTGACCCTGGTTTAGATTTATTTGTTGTAAGGTCTAGGAAACTCGAAATTCTCTGCAAATGTACTGAAGTTAAATGTTTATGTATCATTGTATTCTACATTTCTTCAAGGTATATATGGCAATTGTTTACATGTTTCACATAATGTATATGTTTTTCTATGTCATAATTAGAGTTTTTCTATGTACATTTCTTCATTGTATTCTACATTTCTGCAAATGTTTACATGTTTCATATTTGTTGTAAGGTCTAGGAAACTCGAAATTCTCTGCAAATGTACTGAAGTTAAATGTTTATATATGCATATGTGTTAGGATTCACTTATATAATATAAAACTCTTTTAGTTTTACCATATTCATGAACGTTGGATGGGTGAAAATATATAGATGAGATTTATCTTCTTGTTTTTCTTCCCAATGAATATCTTCTCATTTCCTATTGTTAATCTCAGTCATCCATTTTTACTTTTCTAATGGTTTCTATATATAAGATAGGATCCTAATACACAATGTAATATAGTTTTATACAAATTTAAGGTCGTTAGATGAGTGAAAATAGATGATTAAGATTGACAGTAGTAAATAAGAAGATATTTACAAAGAAATAATTTTAATCATATATTTTAGTTTATGTGATGATCTCATAATTGTATGAAACTAAATGAATTTTATATTATATAAGTGAATTCTAACCCTATATATATTATATTATATTATATAGTAAGCAACAAATTGTATTAAAACTTACAAATTGCATTAAAGTCATCTTTGTCACGAAGACTGTTGTGGCGTTGGAATGCCAAGTTGGTGGAGACACGCAACCAAAACAAAGAGATACGTGAAGGAGTGTTGCTACCTAAGATGCATGATATGTTTTCGAACAAAACGACGCTGTTTACGATTATAATATACATTTATACAATTATAATTAGAATTAATTAGTACAATATATAAATACAATTATAATTAGTATATTTATATAATTCTATTCAGAATTAATCATCATAATTTATAAATACGAATAGATAAAAAGTAAATTGACAATGCTAAATTGACATTAATTTAAATGGAAGCAAGAAGTAGGATGGAATAAAAAAATGGAGTGAATTTATTTTTCCTCTATTTAGGATTAGGAAGGTTTTACACGGACTAATTTACCTTAATGGTTAAAGTAATTATTGTTGTTCGTAGAGGTTACAAGTTCGAGTACCAACGACTACAAAGGTGATTGAACGTTTATTGTTAAATGGTTGAGTGTACTTACAACAAATACTACTTTATAATCACCTTTAATTTAATAAAAAAAGACTACGGAATTTTTTTAATGAGGCCCATGTAATTGTAATGTTTTGTATTTTGTCAGGTAATACAAAACCATGTTTAAAAAAAATGGAGAGAATTGAAATTTGGATAAATTATGATTCATTTAAATATTTAAGTGTATTTAGTTCTACTTAATTTATAATTTATAAAATTAAAATATTCTCAATCGAACTATACTTTTATTTAATTTATAACTATTTTAACAGTATAAAAAATATTTTCTTATCACCCAAAGAGATAAATAATTTACAATGAAATTAGTTCATATACCCTAAAAATAATATATATTATAATTGAAAAGATCGATAAATCTAATCAATTCTATAAAATTAAATCCAAAAGTTTGATTTAAAGAAACATTATAAATTAATTAAAACTTGAAAAATAAATTAGATAAAAATTAATGGAAGTGTAGCAAGCGAGAGTTAGTGAGGCGTGATAGGCGGCGAGTGAGAGCGGTCCGATTGGCGGGAAGACCGGGACCAACTCTGACTCTCTCTCTCTCTCTGCAACTGAAGCTGAATTTAGTTACCAAATTCTTTCCTTTTATTTTTCATTTAAATCGTCGTCGTCTATAAGAACCACACTGAAAGGACCGTTTCACCAGACCCGAACTTTTCGCCTCTGCTTTTAACCGTCTTTATTCATTCAAACTTGAGATAAGAGATTTTAATGGCAGCTTTAAACCACTTGGACTGAACAAAGTGTTTCATTTCAGTTTAATCGAAATCCCAATATAAATCCAAATCCGTTCTGTTTGGAGGAAAAGAAAAGGAAAATGGATAGGTACCAGAGGATGGAGAAGCCAAGAGCGGAGATCCCAATAAGCGACAACGAAATTAGGATAACAACACAAGGCCGAATCAGGAATTACATGACCTATGCCGCCACTCTCCTCTTAGTACCCACCTCTCTCTCTATCTCTTGTATTTTTCTTCATTTTCATATTCTACTTTTCATTGATGAAAATTCTTGTTTCTGTGTAGGAGAAAGGATCGAATGAGATAGTTCTTAAAGCAATGGGAAGGGCCATTAACAAGACTGTGATGATTGCAGAGCTAATCAAGGTGAGATTCTCAAACTTGAAACACATTTTGCATACATTTCAACTTTAAAAAAAAAAACTTGCGTTGTTTTTTTTTCTCAGAGGAGAATTTCTGATCTTCATCAAATCACTTCGATCGGATCAACCGATATAACAGATACGTGGGAACCTCTAGAAGAAGGATTACTCCCGTATGAAAACCACACACTGCATTCTTTTACTGTCTACTTAGGTTATGTTATTGGAGTAAGGAATGCGAGTGGGACTGTCGTATACGAGTATGAAATCATATCTTCATATCCGGAATCACGATGTTTTGCTTTGTGTCTCATTGTTACAGTCTGGAGATTACCCGTCATGTGTCGATGATCACCGTTACATTATCGAAGAAGGAGCTGGATATGTCCTCCACTGGGTAAATGAATCAGAAACTATGTTTTGTTTACATTTGAATGATACTTAGTGTCTTCTTCCACTTGTTTTTATGTTTATAGAATGTGGTCTTATCAGGTTACTCTTAAATGCAGATATCAAGCTCCTCTTCAGGCTGATCAAGTGAAGTCATTAAGTGAATATGAAGAGGATGGAGGTAAGCAATCTTGTTTACTGAACAAATAAGAAGAGAAGAAAGGCATTGTATTAGTGCAAATCTAATTATTTTCATGTTGTTTAGCTCCTGAGACTCCACAAAAGCCGCCACGAGGAAGGGGTCGAGGTGGTCGAGGAAGGGTCAGGGGTAAAGGTAACACACCAGGTTTTCAATCTATTTTCACTACCTTTTTAGAAGTATTTGTAATTGATATTCGTGTTCGACACTGACACATCTTCGAATATAGGTACGAGGATATAATCCTTTGAATACATGAAATATTGCAGCAATTTATGTATTCTCATTGGAATGATGTGTTGTGGTGTGTCTCTAGGAAACTATGGAGTAGGGGAATATAATGGTGATGGTTGGGACGGTGGGCGAGGTGTAGGTGGCAAAGGTCGAGCACGCGGAAGAGGGCGTTCTTATCGGGGCCGAGGACCAGGCGGTGCCTATGGTGGTGGAGGATACTATGGCTATGGTGAATCAGATGCTCCCCAAGCCCAAGGTCGTTGTAAGTTAGTGCTTCGGATTCTTTGACGTTCCATTGTGTGAGCAGTAAATTTGTTTCAATTTGTACAGGGCGCGGCCGTGAGAGGGCAAGGGGTGGCCGTGATGGCGGCGGCCGTGGTCGTTATCCAAGGTCGGATCAGGGTTCGAGCCAAGCAAAAGCCGCTTGAGAAGTTGTACATTTTTTACACTTCATTTTATTTTCTATAAAATAGAAATAATAGAGCAGCACTTTCTTTTAATCTTTTCCAGGTTAATCTTAATTATACATATAAAACGTTGTACGTATTTTAAAAAGTAAATTGTACGTATTTTAAAAAGTAAATAAGTCAAAAATGATGATATATATATTACAATTTATAACGTGGATCACAAAACGCAGCATCCTGTAGTGCAATGATATTTAACTAGGAAGAAATTGCCTTGCTTGGATCACAACTTAGGTTGGTATCTTGAATAACAAGATCCACAGTTTCAGGCTCCGCCGGCTGTTCCGGTGCTGCTGCAAGTTGTGCCGGCCGAGTCTTCTTCTCCTTGGCTTTTCCCCATAGAACAACGTATACTCCTATAACAATAATCACCGACCCTAAAATGCTGAACATGACAACATTTGAATCTGTCAATTGTCAAATATATAGCTGCATACAATGAGGAAAATATATGAAAGTTTATTCGACTTGAATCGAATCGAGTATAAATTTAATTTACCTCCCTATGCTTAGCTTTTCATTGAAGATCAAAGATCCAACGACGGCTACGTATACGAGTGTAAGAGGGTTGAAGATGGATACAAACAATGGCCCCCTCAATCGCAAGCACCATGACATCAGAACTACCGTAAGTCCTGTACCCACGAGTCCCTTCATTCAAAACAAAATTCATGATTTTGTTTTAATCTCAGATACTCCCTACGTGAATGTAAATTTGATATAATTACCGTGTAAACAACACTCAAAAGCCTCAAGTTCCAGCCAAGCTTCCAAGCAGACCAATTCCTCTCAGTAATTATGGTATAAACTGTTGCCTGTATCGATGCTGTGACGCAAAACAATGCAGACGCCGAGTACGTGAATGGATAAATTTCACTCATCTTCGCCTGTAATAACAACACTTCATCTCTCTACCGGTAATTTCTACATCAAAAATTTCACAGTACGTAATTTTTTTTTTACAAATACACAAATATAATTATACCTGGATTATATACCAAATTGCAAATGCCACACAAGAACCTAAAGCCAACAATGAGCCGAGAACTTGATCGGCAACAGTAGCATGTTGGGTATGTTGTTGACCATGTTCGATGACGTTAATGTTGGTTGACCAAAGAATGATCTCTTTTCCTTTGTAAAATGTGAGAATCATTGCTCCACCTATGCTTAAAAATGTGCCCATCACCTTGGCATGTCCCCCTACTCTCTTTATTCCTACTCTCTCCATTCTCAAGAGTTTAAAATATTTTTTTAGATAAAGTGAAAAAAATTTATAAAATATGATATAGCTTAAGGGGGAAAACCTTAAGATGACAGCAAAGATGAATGTGGCAATAGGAACAAGATTGGACACTGCAGTGGCATACGTTGAAGATGTTAAGGATAAGCTTGCTATGAACAGATTTGGACCCAATGCTCCCCTGCCAGTATAACCATTTACCAAGTAATTTTTCCCAACAGTGTATGGAAACCGTAGTTAAAATTATATTTATTTTTTTAAAAATTATTTAATTCAATTTAAAATTTTAATTTAGATTTATAGTTTGAGTTGAGTTTGAATTTATAAAGTTAGAATAACTTAAAATTAAAAAACAAACCATATCGTGATCTTTTTGTAATTTGATCTTTAATTATTTTATTTCTTCGATTTCTCATCATTTTAAGTTTATTTTTTTTACAAAAGTTGAACCACGTGCTTATTAATCACTTCAGAATAAATGTGTAACTTTAATTCTTTTTTTTACAATATTTTTACTTTTTATAATTTAGTCTCTTAAATTTATATTTTATTCAATTTGATACTCTAATTACAGCTCTTTATAAATTATTTCTTTCTATTTCCTTGATTCCTTTATACTCTCACATCAATAATTGATCCCAAAATTCATTCTTTAAAAAGTAACATTATATATATATATATATATTATATAGTTAAAGAGAGTACATTATTTTTTGATAATTAAATAGAGTACATTAAAATGTAAAATATAATTAATTATATTTAAATTTGAACAAAAACTTGAATAAATATATTTGATTTGGCTCAGCTCAATTAGAAAAACTCAAATAAAATTCGAATGATAAAATGATACTCATAAATTCACTAAGTCCATTTTTTCTCTCGATTTGATCGAACACTCCCTCTAATTAGTTTCTAAGTTATGTAAACTAAGGACACAAAAGTTGAACACAATAATAATTAAAGTGTCAAAACACATTAAAAATAAAAATGATGATCGTTATTCTCACCCAAATAGACCTGATAAAACCCCTAGGAAAATGACCTTCCATGTTAAATTTGCTTTACCGTCCCTACATGTGTAGGGTAAAGTTGAAGGAGAATAGTTCAGAACTTGTATAAATATCAGACATGGGAGAATCCAAAATTAAATTCAGATAATCAAAAATCGTAAGATATACCTTTCGTATATGAAAGCAAGTGGAGTGACAGAAGCAGTGGCGAAGATAAATCTGTAAGCAATGAGTACCCTCATGCTCATTCCCTCAATCACAGCCAGTTTATAGAACACAATTACTCCTGCAAGTGCTGCTTGAACCACCGATAGAACTATCACCACTTTCATTCTCTCTGCAATCTCACACATTCTGTTTCCCATTTCTTTTCTTTTATATATTTTCCAATAAAACCTATGAAACCATACATATATATACCTAAGAAGAATGTTGTACAGAAGTAAGGACAAGCGTTGTTCTTCCTTTTGAACGTCTGGCCGTCTATTCTTGATGTATTCCTAAGAATCATACTACCTGCTTAATTTAATGGAAAAATTTTGACAGCGAATGGAACCTTTTTCTGCGATATTTGGATTGTTGTGTGCTGTGGCTTAGTTTGTCTTGTTCATAGCCCTTTTCTGCAGTTTCCTCGGGCTCTGATTCGGTTTCCATTGGTTGTACGGGAGTATTGGTTTCTTTTAGTTTCTCGGTATCTGCTGCAGCCTCCGGTGCTGATTCGGGTCCAATCACGATATATGGCTCGTACTTAAACTCAAACGGCTTCACCGCTGTGATTTGTGACTATCCGTCTTAAAAAAATACTTTTAGATACGTCATTGATATTATATATCAATTTAGCTTCATTATATCAAAATCTATTAAAAAGTATGAATTTTGGTCTTTCTAAATGACATATACAAAAACATTCCTTACAAATCGAATAATAAAATACTCTATATTCTTTCCACACCCGTAATCAAACACTCATTTGAGATTTCTCTGGCTATATATAAAGTTTATAGAGATGTTATTAGAAAGATGAAATGAAATAAAATAAAATTAATTAATTAATTAAGAAAGAAAGAATAATCTAAATCAAATTTTATTAGTATTATATTTAGTTTAAATTAATTAATTAATTAATTAATAGATCACAGGTATATCGAAAAGGACAAACCCGGAATACCTAGTTTTAGTTCTCCAACAACTGACAAAACCAATAATATAGTAAGCACTGAGCGGCTTTACTCTTCCAAATCAGAGCAACCATTCCTAACCGTCCTTTAGCTCAAACAGCTTTGTTACTTGATTTTCAGAGCAAGAATGAGCATAACGGCGATGGGTTTTTCACTCAGAACTAACCCCTCTATCTGCTTCACTCAAAACCCACCAAAACCCACCTCCAAACCTAGGTTTCTAACCATTAGATGCTCCATCCCACTCTCCTCTGACGGTGCCGCCACTGGTAACTTTTTTTTTTCATTTTCCTTTTTCTTTAAATTTGATTTTTTTTTTTTGTTGAAAAATCTTTGGGTTTTTGGGTGGTTTCAGGGTTGGCGGAGAGGCCATGGAAGGTAGCGGATGCTAGGCTGGTTCTTGAAGATGGTTCTATTTGGAGGGCTAAATCCTTTGGTTCCTCTGGAACCCAAGTTGGTGAAGTGGTTTTCAACACTTCTTTGACAGGGTAAAGATGATATAGTATTACGAATTTCAATTTCTCTTTACGATTTAAACTAAATTAAAGAAATTTGCACTTGCAATGTTTGGATGAATTTGCATAGTAGTTATCGAATTTTTATCCGTAATGTCTCTATTTCGACTACTAGCTTCAGTAAATGAAGATCATCATCACTATGCTTTGTCTAATAAATGCCAAATATAATTGTTGCTCAGGTATCAGGAGATTCTAACTGACCCTAGTTATGCTGGTCAGTTTGTCTTGATGACCAATCCACACATCGGCAACACGGGAGTAAATTTTGGTGAGTGAATGTTACATTCCATATCTTCTCAATTCATACTTGTTGAAAACTATATATATATATATATATATTATCTGATATTGATTTGTACTGCCATCAGATGATGAAGAATCGAGGCAGTGCTTTCTTGCCGGTTTGGTGATCAGAAGTCTAAGCATTAGGTAAATTTTATACTTTTAATTTCTTAGATTTGCAATTTACTCATTTGCTTATTTGTGTTTTCAAATTTTAATTGAATGTTCTGCAGTACTTCCAATTGGAGATGTGTTGAAACCCTCGGTGATTATTTAGCAAAAAGAAATATTATGGGAATTTGTAAGTTGTAATAAATGCGACTCTGTATCTATTAAGTGAAATGCTTAGATGACATACTGATATAATAAATTTGTGCATTCTTTGGCCATGACTTTGAACCTCCTTTCATCTTTTTATGCTTTCGTAAAATGACAGATGATGTTGACACACGTGCTATCACCCGGAGACTGAGACAAGATGGAAGTCTTATTGGTGTTTTGAGCACAGAACAATCTAGAAGTGATGAAGAACTTTTGAAAATGTCACGTTCGTGGGGCATTATAGGTAAGATGAAGGATTATTGTATCGGAGCATTTTTGTGAGGATAAATTAGTTGTATTCATGTTTTTATTTTACAGGTGTCGATTTAGTCAGTGGTGTTACCTGTGATGCCCCTTATGAGTGGGTGGATCAAACAAATTCAGAATGGGACTTCAACTCGGGTACAAGAGATCAAGAGACTTATAGAGTTAGTAATATTTTTTAAAGTCGATGTTAGAGATTTTAGATTCTTGCTTTCTGATTGCTCTTACACTTGTCAAATGCTTTTCAAATTGAAGGTCGTTGCCTATGATTTTGGAATCAAACATAATATACTTCGACGCTTAGCTTCTTATGGTTGTAAAATCACTGTCGTCCCATCCGCCTGGCCAGCAGCAGAAACCCTTAAGATGAAGCCAGATGGGGTTCTTTTCAGCAATGGTCCGGGAGATCCATCTGCTGTTCCTTATGCTGTTGAAACTGTTAAGGAAATTTTGGGAAAAGTTCCTGTTTTCGGAATTTGCATGGGCCATCAGTTACTTGGGCAAGCTTTGGGTGGTAAAACCTTTAAGATGAAGTTTGGTCACCACGGAGGAAATCATCCTGTTCGCAATCTCCGTAATGATCGTGTAGAGATTAGTGCTCAGGTATGTATAAGCAGCCAAAGTATTTCCTTTGATTAAGCATGTGTTTGAAGTTGTAACATACCTCTCGGGTTGTATTATGACCTCGGAGTTCATGATTTGGCAGAATCACAACTATGCGGTCGATCCAGCATCGCTCCCTGATGGTGTAGAAGTGACTCATGTTAATCTTAATGATGGAAGCTGTGCTGGTCTAGCGTATCCCGCTTTAAATATAATGTCTCTTCAATACCATCCCGAAGCATCTCCAGGACCTCACGATTCAGACTGCGGTAAGAACATCTTTCCTATACCTAATCTTGACGAACTAGTTTTAGTCTTCCGACTTCTTAACTAAGATTGGATATTTCTAGTAAAGAAAGATAGCTTTGCTTAATTCAAGTTCTTTATTGGTACAGCATTCAGAGAATTCATAGAGCTTATGAAGTCAGCAAAACAAGCTGCTTGAAGGGATTCCACAACATATTGGAATTGTGTGGTTAAGGTGCGGTCGGTATCTTGCTTTGTCTGGCTATGGAACAATTCTTTGTGAAAATGGTTAATAGATAATTCGAATGTAATGTGTTTGAACATCATGTATCTCCTTTGTAGCTTTAGCATTATATTATCTTGTACTAAAGGTGAGGCGGCATCATCATTTGCCTTCGGTGGGAGTAGAAACCTGGTGTTATGGTTGCCAATAAGAGCTTTCTCAAGTGGAGATGCTACTGTTCAAATTTGTTTATTCTCTTTGGTAATCCAAGTATTACCACCCAAGTCTAAATTAACAATACGTATGAGAATTGTATTTAAATTTGGTTTCTTTAAAACTAAAAATATAAGAATTAAAGTGAAAAATGAATTTGGTTATTCGGACTTATCTTTAAAATAGAGCAAATTCAGATGGTAATTATAATTTTGCTGAAAATAATTATATAATATTTATAAGAATATGATATCCGCCTCGAAACCTTGAATATCAAAATAAGAGCAAAAAGAAAAAAGCGCCATAATCCAATCTCCAGCTACAACAGCAATGGATATTAAATAAGATGGCACCGAAAGAAAGGAATTATACACCAATCATCTGCCCACCACCGTCTCCAGGGCTATCATCGCAATAGCGGCGATACCGGTGGACAATTCAAATCGCAGCAGTTGAAGGCTAAAATAATAACACATCAAAATCAAGAACACCATCCCACAAAGATCTTCCACCACATAACCCCTACTTCAAGTTCAAAAAGGCGAACTAAATGGGAAATGCAACTCACTAACATGGCACTTAAAACTTAGAAGCACTTCCTGTGGACAATGGATGGACCGGACTCATCATACTCACCCTTGGAAATCCACATCTGATGCAAAAGGTAAAGCAAGAATGTTAGTCTCAGACAACCAGCCAACGCGCATATAAACGTAAAACATTAACCGAAGATGCAAAAAGTGATGCCAAGATGGATCCTCCAATCCAGACACTGTATTTTCTCTCTGGTGGTGCAACGACCTTAATCTTCATGCTGCTTGGAGCAAGGGCAGTGATCTCCTTGCTCATACGGTCCGCAATACCAGGGAACATAGTTGAACCCCCACTGAGAACAATGTTACCATAGAGGTCCTTCCTGATATCTACATCACACTTCATGATAGAGTTATAGGTAGTTTCATGGATTCCAGCTGCTTCCATACCTATGAAAGATGGCTGGAAGAGGACTTCAGGACAACGGAATCTCTCAGCTCTGATAGTAATAACTTGTCCATCGGGCAACTCATAGTTCTTCTCAACAGAAGAGCTGCTCTTGGCAGTCTCCAGTTCCTGCTCATAGTCCAAGGCAACATAAGCAAGCTTCTCCTTCATGTCACGGACAATTTCCCGTTCAGCAGTGGTGGTGAACATGTAACCTCTCTCAGTAAGTATCTTCATCAAAGCATCAGTGAGATCTCGACCAGAAAGGTCAAGACGGAGGATGGCATGTGGAAGGGCATATCCTTCATAGATTGGCACAGTGTGAGAAACACCCTCACCAGAATCCAGCACAATACCTGTTCCAATAGGGAGATAATCCAGTGTTAGCATCATTACATACAATCTAAAAAGAATGTGAAAACACGAAGAGATTTCTATTTTAACAAACCTGTTGTACGACCACTAGCATACAAAGTAGGAGAGTTTCTCGGCGTGAGCTTAGAGATATTTTTTTGTCTCATGGAACTGTGGAGAGAGTTTTCATCCCGAAAGAAACTAAAAACCCAAAATATAGATTTTCCACTTTCGCTTTTGTTCAGTTTGAGAGGGAATCTGGTTTGAGGAGAGCAATTGATATGTTAAATGATTCACTGATAGATGGGAGAAGGATTTCAGTTGGTGTTGCAAAATACAATGAAGTTCGTCCAAGGAATGTGGCCAAGAATAGTCCAGTTAAGTTGGGTCCAGTTTCGATTACAGCAGGTCCTTCAAAGTTGAAAGAGGCTGATTTTTCCAGTAGGAGTGTTAGGGATGACAGATCGTACAAAGAGGCTTTACTGACTGAGGATATGAGGAACAATACTTTGGGGTATAGGGAGACACATTCTGTTGGGAATCAAAGGGAGAAAGCATTGAAGAATGTTATGAAAATGCATATTCCCTCTGAGAATCGGAACTGGGTCAAAAGATCTTTAACAAGGATTTTTAAGCTCTCTTTAGATATTAAGTCAGTTCAGGAGTTCTTCATTACTAATGGTTACGAAGTTCAGATTGTTGGTTGGGGTTATGCCCGTAATTCTTGTGTTATCATTTTCAAATCTCTCGAAGAAATGATGGAGGCATGGACAAAGAAGAGAGATGTAATAAACTTTTGTTTCGATATATTAGCACCTTTACTGAATGAAGAAGGTGTTCCAATGGCTTATTTTCAGCTTGAGTTAAGTGGGGTTCCTCTGTTATGTTGGGATGAATCCTTCTTGGAACGAGCTGCTGGAAGATGGGGAAGTATGGTAGAAATCCATGAGTCCACTAAGAACAGGGAGGATCTCTCGTCTGTGAGGATTCTTTTGCGAGTTGCAAGTCCTTTCGATGTTCCAGAATTCACTAATTTTGGATCCTATGGCAGATCGTATCGGATTAAGATCAAAGTTGGAGAGAGCTGGGAAGATGCAAATCCTTTTTTCAAATTTTTTCCGGTGATCGGTGCAGATGGGAAACAGTATGGCGAGTTGGGTCTGAGGAAGGTAGAGTCAGGGAGAAGTCAGAATATGAGGAAAGTTCAGTCAAATCAGCAGAGATGTTCAGACAGAAGGTAGACTTGTGGAATGATGATGGTGTCTCTTTCGGCACAGCACAGTCTGATGGGGAAATGCACTTTCCAAGACTTTCTAAACATGGGAAAGGCATTAAAAGAGGGTTGTTAGGTGTTCAGAATGGTGGGAATACCATAGTAGGTGAGTTTGCAAGTTTGGGCATCAGAAATTCAAATATTTCGGCTAATGGGCCGGAGGCCCTATCTGTTGACAATGAGCTGACTGGATCGGAGGCTTCAAAGTTTTTTCCTTCTGGGCCAGGATATACAATTAACAAGTTTGGTAAACTGGTTAAAAACAGGGGAATTATAGAGGCTAGCAGTGTTAAAAACAAGAATAAAGGGACCAGTTGCATTTCAGCTTCGTCTGCCAGTGTAGATATTGAGGTTCCTGATCCTAATTTTTCGCTGATAGTTCCTAACTCGAATTGTTTGAAGAGCCAGTTAAGAAATAAAGCGATGGTGGTGCATAGAAGCTCGCTATCCACAAAAAGTGAGCCTCTACAGAGAAGGAGAATGGCCAGTTACAGCAAAGTTTATAGAAGGAGGGAGAGAAAACAATGGCATGGGGAGATTCATAAGGAAACTAATGGTACAGAGGTTGTTCCAGTTCAAAACAAAGTTTGTGATCAGGTCTGCACGCCAATACAAAAGATTTCTACAGCAGCAGAGCTTAATTCTCCAGGCAGAGAGGAGACAAATTTAGTAGAGAAAGCTGGGATTAGTAGTCTCGATGGAGAGCCAGAGGGTTGTGTTACGGACAGTCATTTGATTAATTCCAAATCAGGATTTTGCAAAAGAAGGGCAAGAAGATCATTGGTAAGAGAAGCTCTAGAACATGTCGATATTTCTACAGCCTCTTCTACAGAATTTTCAGAGCTTTTAGATGAAGCAGTAGCCACATGGCAAGTGAGTCAGATCTTGGGGGTCTCTTTTACTAAGGGGAAGGAAGCTTTTCTGGACAAAATAATTAAATTAGAACAGGGCTTGAATTTGGCCAGTTGAGTTGCCATAGTGGGGAAGTCAGGTTCTCAAGAAATTTTAATGAAAGACAAATTAGCAATAATTTCATGGAATGTTAGGGGCTTGGGGAAAAGAGAAAAACATAAAGCAGTCCAGAGATTGGTCTCTACCTCATATCCTTCTTTTCTTTGGTTCCAAGAAACTAAAGTAGAGAAGGTTCAAAGGTCTTTTCTGAGAAGGAATGGACTGAATAATCTTCAGAGTGTTATTGAATCTCCAGCTATTGGTTCTTCAGGGGGCTTATTATGTTGTTGGGATGACAATGTGTTTGAGATGGAAAATCACTGCATTAACAGAAGATTCATTGCTGTTGTAGGGAAATTCAGGCTGCATCAATTCAGAAGTGTCCTCATTAATGTTTATGGGCCTTCAGTGGAGGAAGAAAAAGAGAGTTTTTTTGAAGAACTCAGTGTGTTCATCTCTGGACAGAACCTGCCGGTTTGTGTTGGAGGAGATTTTAATGTTTATTTGTGTGAAGATGAAAAGGTGGGTAAAGCACAGAATAGGTTCTCTATGAGGATTTTCTCTCAGTTTATTCAGTCTTTAGGTTTGATTAATCTGCCTTTGAATGGGGGAAGGTTCACTTGGTGTAATAACCAAGATGATCCAACTTTTGTTAGATTGGACAGATTTTTGGTAGATGGTCAATTTTTAGCTACTTTTCCTGAGATTTCTCAGTCTCTTATTCCTAAATCCCTTTCAGACCACAATGCTATTTTATTGAAAGATGAAGATATTGATTGGGGGAAAAGACCGTTTAGACTCTTTAATTATCTGATGGAGGAAGACGGCTTTGAGGATATGGTCAGACATTCTATCACAGATTGTAAGAAGACTGGGAGAAAAGGTGGGATCTTAAGTATTTTGAAGAACTCTAAAGCTGCCATCAAGAAATGGTCAGGGAAGAAGAATCAATTTCCGGGAGTAGCAATATCAGATTTGGAAAAGAAAATTCAGAAGCTTGAGGAAGACGCCAACAGCTGAATAACAGCTCTGTTCAGGGGATTGCTAAAGAGCTTAGTGTTTGTAGAGCAGAGTTATGGAGACTTCACAGAATTGAGGAGCAGATTTGGCTTCAAAATTCTAGGAAGAAGTGGCTTAATGATGGGGACCGAAACACAAGATTCTTTCATACTTGTGCTTCAGTTAGGAGGAAACGAAATGCTCTGAATGCTTTAATTGTTGATGGGAATACTACTCACGATCCAATTGTTATCAAAGCCAAGGTCAAAGATCATTTTTTCAAAATTTATAATGATCGGTCTACTTTAGAAGTTGAAGATATTGGTTTGGTTTTCCCCAGAATTTCTTTCGAACAGAATATGCTTTTAGAGAAGGAGTTTTCCGAGGAGGAGGTTTGGGAAACTCTAAAGTCTTGTGATAGTAATAAAGCTCCGGGGCCCGATGGATTGAATTTGGG